TACTTTTTGCCATTGCCTTTATGTTTAGTACTAGAATTAGATAAATGTTATTTTTTTCTCACCATTACCAAGAACATTATTCGAATTTCATGTTTGGACATGAATTATTTTAATGTTTAGGACAATTATTGCTCCATTTTATCTTGATAAGATCTTAATGGTTATCGTAAATTATAAATTGACATATATATATATATATATTCTAAATACTAAGTATTCTATAATGAGTATATAAATTGAAAGGGATAAAAATGATAATCTGAATAAAGCCTATATCTAGCATATAGTCAGGCATTACTAATCAAGGACGATGAACCTACTAACATAAAAATAAAATCAAGCGTTGACTCAAAGAAATGGCAGGAGGCCATGGAATCCAAGATGAATTCTATGTATGTGAACAAGGTTTAGAACTTGATCAACCAGTCTAATGGGATGGATCCAATAGGTTGTAAATGGGTTTACATGAAGAGATCAACATGGAAGGAAACATTCGTACATACAAAGCGAGGCTAACAGCGAAAGGTTACAAATAAAGGCAAGGAGTTGGTTTGGAAGAAACCTCCTAGCATATAGCCATGCTAAAGTCTATTTTGATTTTACTTGTAATAACAACATAGCATGACTATGAGTTATGGTGAAAAGATGTCAAAACTGCATTCCTAAATAGGAACTTGGAAGATGAAGTGTACATGACACGACTCAAAAGTTTTGAATCCAAATATGCTTACAAGATATACAAAATTAATCAATTATTATATGAATTGAAGCAAGCATGTTGGAGCTGAAATCTTCAATTTGATGAAAAAGTCAAAAGGTATGATTTTATCAAAAATGAAGAAGATCCCTATGTTTACAAAAACATAGTGGGTGCATTGTTGTATTCTTAATATTATATGTAGCTAACATATTTATAGGAAATGACATCCCTATGTTTCAATAATTGAAATCATGGTTGAAAAATAATATCTCAATGAAAGATATGGGAGAAATAACTTGATCTTTAAAGATAGATCTAGAAGATTGCTTAACCAACCCAATCTATATAGATAAAATTTTGAGAAGATTTTGTATGGGAAAATGAATTGAGATTTCATGGATACACTGATGCTGACTTCTAGTTAGACTAGAACAATAACAAATCTTAATCAGGATATTGGTTTACCCTTAAGCGGTATGGTAGAAAAGTTCCAAACAGGAAATGATTATTGATTCAATAGCGAAAACCTAATACACCATTACTTTAGAAGCCACAAAGAGTTGCGGTACGGATTAAGAGGTTCATTGATAAACTTGGAGTAGTTTCTAAAATTGTTGGTTGCATACTTTTATATTGTGATAACAATAGATCCATCGCGCATGTGAAATAACTAAAGTCCCATCAACGATTAACATGTGTTAAGGTGGTATCATATCATCAGAGAAATAGTACAAATAAATGAGTAAAGAAGGAACTAATTCCCATAGTTGATAATATTACAGATCCAGTGGCCAAGAATTGTACCCGTATAAACATGATTGTCATATAGACTCTTATAATACTAGATACATAAATGATTGGATCTAATGCAAGTGGGAGTTTATAAGTGTTATGCTCTAGGTCTAATTAACTTTGGACATAAACACTTTCAATATATAATTCATTCAATTTTATGACAGATTTATTATTTAACTAATATTCAATTCAATTAAATAATATAGTCTGTTGATTTAAATCTTAGTAATTTGTTAATCACAAAGAGTTGTGATTGCGGGATACAAATTACATATGATTGAATAGTAATAGCGAGATACGAATATCGTTATTACGGATATACAATCACGTGTGGCATTCCTTACTTGTGAAGTAAGTAGCTAATCTCACAAGTTAAAGTGTAGAAACACTTAAATGAACACGTTGATGTTCTGTTATATAACAAAACATTGGAGACCCGCTGGGAGATTCTACATGGGCAACTATCTGAGTCTCAGTGGTTAATCTCTAACGTTCGATAGTGGAATTGGGCTTTTGACTTGAGGTCATCATAGTCCCTTATATGAGAATAGTCATACTTTAGTGATGTTGGATGTTGCTCTACCAGGGGCCACTAATACAGCATTGTTCAGGTATTTCAAGAATTATATGAAGGTTGTGAATGATCAATAGATGGTTTGTCACTCTTAGATAGTAAGAGATTTTGATCTACATTTCATCCAGTTAAGTCGATAATGAAATCCTTGGTCAATGTGTACACATAAGTCAAAAAGGAGTTTTCGACTTAATAGTGGAATGAAAGATATGTTTAATAATTGAAATTGACACATATCTATATCTCGTAATTGATTGAATCATATTGACGAAAGGATTATAGTTTCACGATAAACAAACAAATTTGATTTGGTCATATCACATGACATTTTCTATCACATGTATTATTTTGATATATTGCTAGATGTCAATTTGGAACGACGAATGTAAATTAATAATAAATTAAAAAGGGTGTTTTAATTTATCGATTTCGATTAGATTAGGCATCGTGATTGGAACCTAATCGGTCACATACAAAAGGAAAATTAGAAAAATGAGATTTACCAATTAATTAACATGAGTTGGATAATTAATTAATGGTATTGCTTATTAATAAGCCCGAATTAATTAATTCATGAGCCGGATTTAATTAATTGGATTAATTAAGTACCGGACCGGATTAAATTATGAGATGAGCTAAGCCTATTTGGGCTTATATAAATAAGCTACTAAGGTTTGAAAACTCTAGAGAAAATTCATATTTTTGCTAGCACAAGAAAAGAAAAAAATTATAGTTCTCTCAATCTTGTTTTCTGTGTGGATTTTCATTGGAAGTTGGACAGTTGTAGATTACAGATCATGATTGTTGGAGTTCAAGAAAAGCAAAGGAGTTTATAGAATTCAAAAAAGGTAAAATTTTTATCACAAGTTCTATTTAAACACAAAGCAAATCCTTGGTGAAAATTGAGATTTTATTTAAATTTCGCTTCACATGATTAAGTAAATTCTCAATAGATCTGAATTCTTTTTATTTATCATAATCATGGTTGCACTAGATGATCTTATAGCACTAAAAAATCACAAACATGCGTTGACGACTTCATCTCCCAGCTAGCAGCTAGATTCTCTATTGAGGACTCTGACTTGCTTTCATATTTTCTTGGCATTTAAGTTATTTCCCCAAAATTGGTTTTTTGCTTTCCTAGTAGTAATATATTTCTAACCTCCTATAGAGGACCAATTTGTTAAATGAAAGACTATCTAAACTACACTCTATACTTCCATAAACCTCATTTCGCATTATGGAAGTTTTCTTGCTAATGCTACCAAATATCGTCATATTATTGGAAGCCTCTAGTAAGTTGTTCTTACTCACCCAAACGTTGTTTCTGTCATGAAGTAATTAGCTCAATTTATGCATCAATCGTCAACTGAACAATCGACAACTGTCAAATGGCTTGTTCTACCTTTTTAAAACTCTCTACCATAAAGTATTTCTTCGAAACCATTCTCCCTAGTATTCCATGCCTTCTGTGATACTGTCAGGATAGAAAATATGGATGATAAAACTTCCAATAGTGTTCATATGGTATTTCTGGATTTGCGTGGTGCTCTAAAAACAATGATATGTTGCCCATCATGAACAAAAGTTGAGTACCGATTGATTGCTAGAACTACCTCAGAGCTCCTCTCCATTAAGAACTTGCTTCGTAAACTTGGTCTTGTAAAACCCGCAAATGTTTGGGATCGCTAACAAGTAATAATGTAGTGAGTAATCTAGTCTCTGCTTGTCTCCCTTTAAAATAAAATTCCTTAATTCTCATACACATTTTCGACCACATTCGGTTCTCTAAAAAATTACAATGATCAATAAGAATTTGAAAACTTGGGAAGATTGCTTATCATTCATAGAGTTTGCATACAATAGGATGTATACTACTATTTCTTATTCTCTCTTTGAAATTGTTTATGGCTTTGATCAGCTTACTCCTTTGAATTTAATTCAATTACCTGTTGATGAAAGGAATATTGTCGATGGGAAGAAGAAAGCTGAATTGGTGAAGTTAGTCTATGAGAGGTTTCAGCTTCAGATTGAAAAGAAGAATGAACATTATGCTTCCCAAGCCAATAAACGAAGGAAGTGTGTGACCTTTGATTTAGAAGATTGAATTGGGTTCACATGCAAAAAGAACGTTTTCCAACCCATATAGAAGGTCCAAATAGCATCCTAGAGAAGATAGACCATTCCAAATCCTTATGAAGATTAATGACAATGCCTATAAATTGGATCTTTCATGTGTGTATATTGTGTCTACTACTCTTAATGTTGCTGATCTTTCACTCTTTGATGTAGGTGACAATTCGAGTCAGAATCCTTTTGAAGAAAGGAGAATGATGAGTATAACGGAGGCCAGCTAGCAAAGATCCTTTACATGTTCCGGAAGGGCCAATAACGAGGTCAGGAAAGGCGTATATCAAATCTTGTTGTAGATTCCAAGGTTCATCCTTCATGGGTTTACATCAAGAAAGGTGTCGCTTTCCTAATCAAAAAATATGAGAATAATGCTTCTCCTAAAGTTAAGGGGTCATTTTTTCCGAGTACCTTCGACATATTCTCTCAAGCTCCATACAGTATACTCTGTGTCAACTTGTAGTACATTCACTTCACCGGCAGGATTGCTCTCTTGATTCGAAGTTTTTCTTAGAAGTTTCAACCTTGTTGACTATGAAAAGAGTCACAATTACAAGAGAGACTCGTAATCATGGCAGTGCTGTACTCTTTGATTTACAAGAAAATGATAACATGGCTAGAACCCCGAACCACAGCAGACCTAGTACTGGTGGTGTCCTGTGGTTTTTCACAAAATTCTTTCACAATATAAGAAAAATTAGAGGAACAAGCAAGCTATTAAAGATTTTCACCGTCATGGACCAACATCAATGGTTCCATATAAAAAAAAAAAAAAAAAAAAAGATATTGCGGAGACAGGATTTGAACTTGTGACCTCATCCCCAAATGAAAATGCAAAATGACAATGAATCTGTAACTGAAATCAGAACCGGCAAAAAGTAGGCTTGCACATCAGCCAAAAGCATGAATTCTTGCCTGTTTTTCCTCACCCCCAGCAACAAAATCATGACCAGAAAGCAAGAATATCTCTCTTAAATTTGAATCGAAATTGTTGGTAACACAAAACATTGATGATAAAGAAATGACAAAGATAAAATGGCTGGATTTGGTGTTATTTGGGGCAGTTCTGGTTGCTGTTTCTTCAAGTGAAGTAGGCATGGCAGATCCACAGTTTAGTGCAATGTTTGTATTTGGTGATTCGTTAATCGATCCAGGAAATAACAACTACTTGAATTCCTTAGCAAAAGCCAATTACGTACCTTATGGGGTGGATTTCAGTGAAGGGCCTTCTGGTAGATTCTCCAATGGAAAAACAATAATAGACTACTTAGGTAACTATGATTTTTTACTTTGTTAATTGCTACTATTATTAGCCTTCAGTTATGTGTTTTCCAAATGCTACATTAAAACTTATTTCTCTTGAGATCAAGAAAAGGCCGAATCTTCTAATGCTAAGTTAAAACTTATTTATCTTTGAGTTCGAAGAAAAGGCCAAATTTTTTTTGAGTTCATCAACTATCTCTACACCTGAATCAAATTGTTCTAGTTATCTAGAACAATGAGGAGATTCTATAGAAGAAATACAGGGTCTGCTTTGATGACTGTGTGATTTACTTGTGAATTTGTAGGAGACTTGTTGGAAATTCCCGCTTTACCAGCTTATACAAATCCTTCTGCTACTGGAAAAAACATTCTGAGGGGAGTGAACTATGCTTCTGCTGCTGGAGGAATTCTTGAAGAAACAGGACAAAAGTGATAAACAAAAAAAAAAAGGAAATAACCTTGTTCCATTACCCTTTCCGCTCAGTCACAGACACTGCATGTTTTTTGTTGGGGTTTTCTTGGGGGCTCTCATCAGACCTCCTCTTGCTTTTTCTTTGTGTGGTGTTTTCGAAATTAATAACCCCTTTCGCAGCCTTCAATTTCTTCATTTGAATATGATTTTTATGGACTATGTAATAAATGTCGTTGATGATATAGCAATAAGTTGCACAAAATGAATTCGACAATGGTGAGAATGGAGAGTAACTGAACGACGATATCTGTCGGAGTCGTGGTTGACAAATTCGAACGAGAAAGGGCTTGGTGATACCGTTAGGAATCATGGGGAAGAGAGATATAGACGGAGATAGGAGTTGCTTAATATGGTAGTTAAGAAAATTGTAATTTAAATTACGATAATTAAAGAATCGCGCCATCAATTAATATACATATCAACTAATGATTAAATGATGATAAAAATATTTCACATTTAATAATTAAATAAAAATCTGACTTGTGCATAAAAAAACTTCCTCCCCACCTGATGTTTGCAATGCAACTTTTAAACACTTGGATGGTATAATTTCCACTTAATTAAACGTACTGTTCGATTTTATTGATTTCAGGCCGTACTGGGCCTAATTTCCTCTTCCTCTCTGGATCTATTTCGGTCCAATTAGGGCCCAACTCACAGATCCATATTTGCTAAGAAATTGACACTGTTAGTGATATACAACCACTGCACCACCGTCGCCGGAAGCCGTTTCTTCTGCAGGTCCCCTTTCTTTATGTAGATATATAGTTTGACTTTCTCCTATTCACACAGTAATTTACTACATGTTATGTGCAATCCTTCTGTTCCTTCTCTTCGTTTGCCGATGTTGCAATTGCAGATGTTTTGTGTTTTTTCCCTGTATGAACTAAAATTCTCTGTGCAAATATCGCTATTCTAATTTCACAAATTTTGTACTCCTTTAATATGTTAAGAAAATTCGTTTTGAAAGGTAAAGAGCGAATGTGTCAAAATTATATAGCAGTATCGGGAAAAATGTTAAACTACTCGAGTTGGATTGTTCTTTTTATTTTCTTTCTTTAAATTGAACGTGAATTCTTATTTAATTTGATAATAATATAAGGATTAATACTTGGAAATTAGAGTTACTCTTTTGATTGCCTCGGTAGTGCTGCAAATTTGACGAAGTGATAGTCAAATATCATGCACTTGATGAATGGAAATAGAAAATTGAAACTAAGTCAATTAAACTATGAAATAAAATCTGCTGGTAGTGCTTGAGGACTAAACAAGTAACTGGAATCATCAAACTAGTATAAGATGCCAGAAAATTGTGAATACATGTTAATGTTTGAGATTCATAATTAAGTTGGTGATTTGATAGTTTGAAATTTGATATCTTTGCTTATAACACAATTTGAAGTGTAGGAGTCAAATATAGAAGTAGAAGCCCAGAATGGAAAAAATGCTGATCTGGTGAACTCTGTCAGCCTATATTCTCTTATTAAAGGGATGTTAAGATTTTCTCCATAGACTCGTTGATATATTGCGTACTAGTAACCTTTTAAGTTTTCATAGGCAGCAAGATATGAGTTTGATGTCTAATTAACTTCTGTAAGAATGGAACTATTCCTTGATTGGTTATGTTACATTTACATAATGGCTTACATACACATGATGTGGTCAAATATAATTTGGTCGGAATTTTTTAACCAAAAAAAAAAAAAAAAAAAAAAAAAAAAAAAAAAAAAAAAGGTAACCTTGTTAACGATCAACTAGAAAAGTTAACTTATGGTTAGTCCATACACTGCTAAATTTTAACTAACTCTACCAACATAACTTGTAAATCACCAAAGAACTCATTTGGTTGTGCACGCCGCACTTTTAGAATTCTGGGCCACTTTTCTCTCCACTGGATCACCAAAGACGAACCTCTATCTTCAAAATCGAAACTCCAAGCGCCTCTTTTTCGAACTTTAAAGGTATATCAGTGAAGGTAGGAATTTGCTTAAGGTTTGAACTTTGTGTATTGATTTGTGGCTGGGGCAAAAGATTCACTGAAATATGTAACAGATATTCTTCTTGACTTAAAGCAAAGGTTCAACCAATGGAAGGCAATATTTGGGAACAAATATGGAAAATATATTTGTAATTGAATCAAGAGGTCTTTGGAATGAGTTTATGATCTTCAAAGAATGATCTCTATAATGAATAAAATGTTCAACCACAATTTGGGATGTTCCATGGCTTGTATAGGTATAATGGAAGTGTTTTAGATTGATTGGGATTGAAAACTAATAATTTTACATGAACTAGGGTTTTTAAGCAAATGTAGGCGTGTTTGGATGGTCCCGCTGTAGGTTTGGTGAGAGTCAGTCTATCCTGTAGTATTGTCTCTACAGTGGTAAGTTATTATAATTTCATTTTATTCAATTATGTCTTCGATTTCAAGTTGGTTTAGGAGATCTAGTAATAGATTTGAAAATATTTCAAATATTTGTCAAAATGAAGAAGAATTAGATCAAGCAACTGCATCAATAATTTCAAAAATCATGAATTTCAAATTGCTCAAATTAAACAAAGATTGCATAACATGACTATTCCAAAGGTAGAGAAAAACTCTATCTATGAAATAGGAAAGTTTGATTTTACTCAAAATTATGTTACTAAAACTTTTGAGCAAACATTACCCATTAAAAGTCAAAATGCATTTATTAATCTATTTTCAAAAGAATCTATTAAATCCTACAGAAAGAAATTTAAATATCTTCATGTCGGATTAGTTCAAATTGCTATCAAAGCACTGTTTCGACTTGGTTTAGACATTCCTATCCTTTTAACTCTTAGATTTGTGCATAGATCTAGAGATATTCATTTTCAATTAGCTAGATTTTCAACATCTTCTTTGACAGGTGTTGACTTTAATCTCAATATTGGTAATGAAGATAAAGCAGAAGAATTTGAACAACCCAATTTACCAACTCTATCTGATATATTACCTCATGTTGAGAGACTTGATCAACAATGCACTATTATTTCTTCTGCCATAGATAGAAGAAATGAATTTAAAACTGATCAATTTGCTGATGTTAAAAATTTTAGAAAAATATTTCGAGAAAATTTTTTCAAAAGAAGAAAGAGAATCTTTTTGGATAGATTATGAAGAATTTTCAAAAGAATTAAGTTTCCATGAATGGGTTTATTTTAAAGTTTATAGTAAAAAGCCAAAAAGAAAAACTATTAAAAATACAGATATTTCAAAAAAGATTTGAAAAATTCTTCTGGAGATAATATTCAATTTTCGTATCCTCCTATGCAAGAAATAGTTGTTTCTCAAGAAAATACTGAAATTCTTGCTTCTCATTTGAAAAGGATATCTACAGAACGACCTGATGATTCTCATGTTGTTGCTGCAGATATCAAAAATATTCAAGCTCAAAATAACTACACTAATGTAGTTCTTCAATCTATGTGCTCTCTGCTTAATAGAATTGAAACAAATTCTAAACTGAAGTAACATCTTCAAAATCATCTAAGCAACTCATGTAACTTGTAACCAGCTTTAATAAAGTTACATGAGGCAACTCAGAAACCTCTTAAAACTAAGGTTAATGTTCTAAAAGAACTCGCAACTCAATTATCAAAATTATCATCCTCTTCAACTTCGAATAACATCAATACTATTGATGAAATTGAATATCAATTTATTGATGAAGAAGTTTCCCATATCAATAAATTACGAGGATAGAATACTCAATTTTCTAAAATTCCGGCTTATTTTCCAAAAAAATACTCCTCCAAATTTACTTTTTGAAGGAAAGCTTCAAAAATCCACAACTTTTTATGGTAATGGTATTACTATATGGAATATTGATGGTTTATCTGATTATCAAATTATGCAAATTGTTGAGAATATGGGTTCTTGTTTTAATGCCTATATTCATGAAGGAGATTCTCCCGTTCAAACTACAAATAATATTATTCAAGGATTTTCTGACCAATTGAATAATTGGTGGTTTCATTATTTAACAGAAAATGATAAAAAAAAAAGTTGCTAATTCTATAAAAGAAGATGGTACAAATGATAGTTTTACTACTCTTATTTTATAGTATTATCAAACATTTTATTAGAACTTCAACAGATGTTTTAGAAAAAATATATATTGTTCAGATGAATCTCAACCGCTCAACTTTACAAGATTTTCGTTTGTATCAAGATATGTTTTTAAAATGCATATTTTTTCGAATTGATTGTAATCAATCTTACTGGAAAGAAAGATGTTTATCTGAACTTCAAAAACTATTTTCTGAAAGAGTCAAAAATTCTATAAGGAAAGAAAATAATTACAGTATTCTTTATGATAATTTTTCTTATGAAGAACTAATTGCTTTTATTAATTGTAATGAACTCAAAATCACAGACAAATTGAAATTAGAAAGACTTGATAGTCGAAAAAAACTTAGATCTTTCTATAATCAATACGGATTTGAGAAAATTAGTCCTTTTTCAAAAAGAAAAAAAATTTCTTATGAAAGAAAATTTTATTCAAAAGAAAAGAATTTTCAAAAATCTTATTCCAAAAACTTTTCTTAAACAAAATTTTAGAAGAAAAAGTTTTCAAAATCCTCTAATGTTACTTGTTGGAAATGCGAAAAGCCAAGGCATTATTCTAATAAATGTCTTATGATTAGCAAGATTAACAATCTTCAAATTGATGAAGATATTAAACTTGAACTCCTCAATCTTATTGATTCAAATTCCAGTTCTGATAATGATTTTATTTCTGAATTAGAACAAGTTTATCAACATTAAGAAAATTCTGATGTTGAAACAAGTTCAAATTTATCCTCTTCTTCAAATCAAAGTAAGGAACTTTGAGGTTGTAAAATTATAAATATTCTTACTAAACAAAAGGAACATATTAAAGTGATTGTAGATCAAATAAAAGATCCACAACTCAAAAATAAGTTCAGTACTCTTT